ATAAGTTCTGATGTTTCATTCAAATTAACATACAAACAAATAAATAACTAAGTGACAAACCTCTCAGGAACTAAGTGACAAACATAGTAATAAATGTTCTCTGCTCAACACTTATCGAAGTTGTCTCATAAAGACATGTACATACTCTTTAAGGTTCAAATTACATGCTTCTGAAATCATTAAATAACAATTTTAATAAGTCTGATATACACGTATTAGATCATTACTCAGATAGTTCTTATTTATTTGATTAATTGTACTTATTATGTAACTAGCTAATAACATACACGCACGTACATGTCACATGTGTCATGATATCAGTTATAATTTGCTAGTCAAAATTTTACTTGCTTAATTCGGCCAGAAAATTGTTACTTCAATATTTATTTTAGTTTCGTTTATTTAAGGTGTATCTTCATTTATGCGGAGTATAAAGTTATTAGTACATAATAAATAATTTATATACGCACATGAGTATAATTTACTAATTAAAGTTAACTCAATCATTTTGTAGTATATCATGGCAAATATTAGCAAAAGAGAATTTGATGTTCTTGATCTTTCCGGCCAAAAATATTTGGAATGGAAAGTGGATGTTTTAGCACATTTGAAGGCTAACGGTCTAGAAGACACTATTGAGGATAATAATCAATCATCCTCCCAGGACAAAGCGAAAGCTATAATTTTTCTCCGTCACCATCTCCATGAAAGTCTCAAATCAGAATATGTTTTGGTTGATGATCCAAAAGAATTATGGAACAATTTACATGAGAGATATGGCCACCAACAAAAGGTAGTTTTTCCAAAAGCTCAGTATGACTGGATCAATTTAAGATTCCAGGATTTTAAATCAATCAGTGACTATAATTCTGCCATGTTCCAAATAACATCTAAACTAAAGTTATGCGGACAAAAGGTCACTGATGCTGATATGTTGGAGAAAACTTTTTCTACAATGCATATTTCTAATATGCTGCTACAGCACCAATATAGAGAAAAGGGTTTTAAAAAATACTCTGACTTAATATCAGTATTATTTGTAGCTGAGCAAAATAATGACCTTTTGATGAAAAATCATAATTTGAGACCCACCGGTTCTAGTCCTTCGGTTTATGGTCCATCTGGCCATAATTTAGCCACTGAATCAAATGCAACATACAGTGGCAGTAGAAGGCATTTTAAACGTGGGCATTTTAATGGTCATAAAAACAAGTCACATCGAGAATATAAACACGTCAATAGACCAAATTATAAGGGCAAGGGCAAACAAAATCGCCCTCCAAAAACCTCGGTAAAGACGACTTGTTATAAATGTGGCATGACGGGGCATTGGGTTAACAAATGTCGTACTGCGAAACATCTAGTGGAATTATTTCAAGCTTCCATGAATTTGAACAAAGGCAAAAATATGGAAGCTAATTATGTCAATGACACAACTCCACCTCTGCCAAAATTTGACGTGTCTGACTTTTTCGCGGATGATGCCATTATGAACGATGCTTTTGCCATAAACCAAAATGTTACTAAATAAAATAGTAGACTCCGGATGTTGTACAATACTAGTTTTATGTACCTTTTCTTTCTTCCCCTTTTTATTTTGTTTTTAAATAAATATGTGTAATGTATATACTCTTATGTTAAATAATATGCATAATTTGTGATCAAACTTATGTTTATATATATTGAATATATGGATCACTCAAATGATAAAGAACTATGTCTGATAGACTGCTAGACTGCTACAGGTAATTCCGAATGATATATACATTCTGATTGATAGCATGGAGACAGCTAAGGAAATGTGGGATGAAGTCCATAAGCTTATGCAGGGAACTGATTTGGGTATCAAGACGAAGAAAGCCAGCACATTGACTGCTTATGATTCCTTCGAGGCTAAGCTAGGTGAACCACTTCATATTAGTTTATGGCATATTTACGGAACAACGTAAATACCATCAAACCACAAGATTTTCCCTTTGGGGCTGCTATCGTGATATCATCAAACCACAAGATTTTTGACAACGTAATATAAATATTATAACTAATATTAATACTCCATCTATATTGAAAAGTTTGCTAAACTTTTTGTTTAAGATGTATTTTTATTTTTGTTTCACTTCTCTTTTTCATTAATTTTCCCTTTAAAAATACTCAATTACTCGTACATTTTCAACGGAGTATTTTTATCTTCTCTTTCATACTTTTTCATCTTCTCTCTTACTTTTCTACACTAATCATTACCACTACTACTTTTTCATAAATTATACTACATCCGTCCCTTAAAACTTTCCGGCACGGAGAATAATAAAGTAAAAATTGTGTGCTTGAGATTTGTGCAGAGGAGAGAGAAATAACAGAAACTACAAAATAATTGATTAAAAGGGAAAGTGACAAAGTTTTTTGGGACGTCCCAAAAAGGAAAGATGACAAAGTTTTAAGGGACGGAGGGAGTACAATGTGTCAAACCATATTGTAGCAAACATTTGAATACGGAGAAAATATGTAATAAAATTTTATTTTAATACAAAGAGAGTATGTAATAATATTAATAATAGTGGGCCGGTAACATTGATTTGTATTAATATTATATCATATTAGTTTATGTAATAATATTAATATTAGTGGTAACATTGATTTGTACTCGCCCATAAATTAATTTTTTGCATAATAACCAGTAGCAGTTCTCAATGGCTGGTCTTGGATATACATAATCTTTTTTTCTACTTTTTAATAAAATTTGGCATATGACATCCGGCATATGCCCCACTGATTTTGGTGGTTCGTCTTCTGGCTTAAAAAAAAATAGTTTATGGCATACTGACAGAACAACATGGATGAAACGGTGAAACCTTACGAGGGTGAATATGGATGAGAATTGGGAAATTACCCTAAATTGGACTAAAACGTTTGTATATTCTAAAATAAGACTATCATGTTTTTATTCCCAAAATAGAACTAATAACTGTCATGTTTTGGCAGTACCAAACTTTAAACATGACACTATTTTCCAAACTTGACAGTAATTATGCCTATTTGGGAATAAAAACATGGCAATCATATTTTGAAAATTTCAAGCTTTTTTACTTCTATTTCGGGAATTTTCCCATGAGAATTCTTAAAGGCTTGTGAGTATACATGGTGACCGTGGACAGGCTATGGTAGAAGTTGAAGGAGAGTTAGTTCACGAATCACTCACGACGACGATGAACACACAAGATGACAGAAGCTCGCACATGGTAACCATGCGTAAAAGGTAGTAGAAGACACTACATGCATAAATGCATTCCATGTATTTATACTATTGAGAATTTTGTTTTGCGAAATATAATTAATACTTTGAGATCGATGAGTTATGTAGTCATAATTATACTATTGTAGTAGATTCTACATTGCTAGAAATTGAGAAGAAAAATCATTGTACCGAACAACTAATAACGGTTCAAATGAAACTCACATCGTATGCATTCCATAATGAGTTATTATAGTAACTTGACATTAAATACATTTCGTATCGGTCTTTATCTAACTGAGATGAAAGGTTATAATAACAGTTACGAGTAACCCATTATTAAAAATGGAACATTCGGTAAATGTTGTAAAATCCAACACAGAAAGTCAATACTGGACGAACAAGCTATATCTAAAATTTCTTTTCAAGATCTTTACTATCAAATGGTGAACGATAAATAGTGGCACAATGATATCTATGTCAATTCTAACAGACCACATTATTCGAATAATTATATATGTCTCATTTTGTATATAAATTCATGTTCTCCTCTTCTCTTCTCCTCTCTTCTATTTTCTTCCTGCTCGTACTCTGTTTCATTTTTATTTTGAGTTATTAATTTTGAGTCCACTTTTAGTCGAATTTTATTTATTAATTTGTATTTTTTAGGTTTGAATTTTATTTATTCAGCAGAATGTCACTTTATAATCTGAGAATGTCAAAATTATTAGTTATTTGAAAAAACTGTCATGTTTGTGGCAGTATATTTATCAGAATGACAAAATGAAAATGTCATATGCCATAAGAAAATGTCATTCTTATGGCATTCTATGTCATTTTTATGACTTATCTGGGAATGACATAACTAATTTTTATTAGAAATGACATGTTTTTTGACATGTTTTTCAAATGATGTCATTTTATTGCAAACTCTCTCTTTAAAGATGGTTATATGTAATTGGCACATTCATGACATTTTGAGAACAAACACAGCATTTCAAAAAAAAATAGATGAAGAAGTGATATTGATATACAATAACTAATAGTAGCATTATTATTAATATAAATACAAATATTAATATTGTGAAATAATTACATATTTATGACTTAACAATGATTATTTACAAAAATGTGACTAGTGATTACTGATTAGAGTAGTAATGGAATTACAGTAACTTATGTTCAATAGTTAAACTTATATTCTAGTAAATATTTTTCATATTTGTGTAAATAAGTTTTATTTTAGTAATTTTTTTACATCTATAGTGTAAGTAATATTAATATTATAACTGACATTTGTAAGAATAGTAGTGTTAGTATGGAGATTAATATTAGCATTACCATTAGAGGTGAGTTGGTATTAATTTTAGAAGGACAAGCGGCTCCGATCCGATCCTCATCTCAAAGTTAATATTGATTTGATTGTTATGATATAATCCGTTTTAGTACTTTCTCCATCTTGCTGATATTGTCTCATTTTACCTTTTCGAGAAATCCACTAAGATTTTTTCATACTCCCTCCGTCCCTTATAACTTTGACAACTTTTCCTTTTTTTTTGTCCCAAAAACTTTGGCACTTTCCCTTTTAGACATTCAATTTGTGGTTCTTGTGATTTTTCTCTCCTCTGCACAAATCTCTACCACACAGTTTTTACTTTATTATTCTACGTGCTGATCAAACTTGACGATCCTTTTAGGGACGGAGGGAGTACAAAATTTAGTAAAAATTGTGTGGTTCTGAATTATTCTTACTTTATCAATTCAATATCAACTCGATATACTCATTTTTCTTAATAACCGTGTCATCACCTTTTGAGTGGGACGGTATAACTCTGCATATTCCGCCAACAAGATATGATATGCATAATAAGAGACAGAAATGAAGGGAGTAAATATATTCCGGGCTGGGCCGAACCAGGCCGGGCCGGGCCGGGCCGTGCTGGGCTGTTTTGGAAAATGAAAGGATGGAATAGGATTGATTGGTTCAAGGCTCCATGTTAGGGGCAAGTGTTAAGACGGCGTCGGACACTCTGAGAAAAATTCTGTCTTGTCCAATCATGCTTGCAACACCGGATGCACCCAGTTTGACCATCACACCTGGCCCTGGATTTGCAAGAACAAGCTGCCATGCCAAATACTATATCTAAATCAAAACTATATAATGATGATGATGATGATCACAACAACAACAACAACAACAACAACAACAACAACAACAACAACAACAACAACAACAACAACAACAACAACAACAACAACAACAACAACAACAACAACAACAACAACAACAACAACAACAACAACAACAACAACAACAACAACAACAACAACAACAACAACAACAACAACAACAACAACAACAACAACAACAACAACAACAACAACAACAACAACAACAACAACAACAACAACAACAACAACAACAACAACAACAACAACAACAACAACAACAACAACAACAACAACAACAACAACAACAACAACAACAACAACAACAACAACAACAACAACAACAACAACAACAACAACAACAACAACAACAACAACAACAACAACAACAACAACAACAACAACAACAACAACAACAACAACAACAACAACAACAACAACAACAACAACAACAACAACAACAACAACAACAACAACAACAACAACAACAACAACAACAACAACAACAACAACAACAACAACAACAACAACAACAACAACAACAACAACAACAACAACAACAACAACAACAACAACAACAACAACAACAACAACAACAACAACAACAACAACAACAACAACAACAACAACAACAACAACAACAACAACAACAACAACAACAACAACAACAACAACAACAACAACAACAACAACAACAACAACAACAACAACAACAACAACAACAACAACAACAACAACAACAACAACAACAACAACAACAACAACAACAACAACAACAACAACAACAACAACAACAACAACAACAACAACAACAACAACAACAACAACAACAACAACAACAACAACAACAACAACAACAACAACAACAACAACAACAACAACAACAACAACAACAACAACAACAACAACAACAACAACAACAACAACAACAATAATAATAATAATAAAACGTTTGCACCTCAATTTCCTTCTATCCCTCCCATTTCACATAATATATTACCTCGACGCCCCTTTTCTCAAGACACTTGTACAATTCTTCAAATGCAACAATTCCACTAGTATCTATATCTGTCACAGCTGCGAAATTTAAATAAACATAGTATAAGGATATGCTTGGATCGGTAACTACATATATAGTGCTAGGGAAAGTAAAACGAATGCAAAATTAATTTCTTAGCTTTGCCTAACAAGTATATAAAAAGACTGAAATCAGATTTTTTTAGCTTTTCTACATTTATTTAGATTCTTACTTTTTATATAATACACAGACAAATAACGAGTTTGCACAAAAGTTTAAAATGTATTCATTGAGTTTGAGTATATCAGTATATGTATATTATATATATCCCATTTGTCCCCAATTTTTTTCTGATCGTATAATTTTCTCTCGTACTGGCTCTACCCCTTAGAGAAACTTACTAATTTGACAAACACATAAAAATAAACACATAATAAATAATTTGATAAGATTTTGTTATCAAATAAGAAAAAATACAAGTACTATTTTATGTAGAAACATATAAAAAAATAATACAGGAACTTTAAATATGGATGGGAGAGTATTTTTCATGTTCCAAACACAGCCACAAGAGAGTTTATTATAGGGGGGCAGGGAAAGATCATTATATTTGCTTACGTGACATTTCAACTATCAAATATTGGATTCTTGAAGCATTGTCGTTTTGTTTCAGCTCATCTTCTTCATCAGATAGCCATCTTAGTATCCTGCAAAATAACCGGAACATTAATACTGATCCCAGTTCATGTAAGCATTATAATTGTTGTGGATTAAGGTACATGTCCCTCATTTTTCCAAAAAAAAAAGGTACCTGTCCCTCAAATAGTTGGAATTGGAGAAGTAAATTGCAGAATCAACTCTAACAATCAGAATGCCAGGAATTCTTGTTGCCTCAGGGTATTGTTGTAGGTTCCTATAAACACTCGTCCTAGGGATCTTGCCCAGGATTGCAACTCTTGGTCTTGTAACTTGGAGAAGGATTTTGGCAAAGGAAATTACTACCTATATATTTTGTTGATTCCCATTCAAATATCCGTCCAGGTGAAACAAATTAAAAGCTTTTGGTGTTACTCATTCATGCAATATTTGTCGTTTTCTTTTTAATCCCTCTCCATCAGCCTCCCTTCAATTAGAAAGTAACTGATGTGAGTCATAGAACTACTAGCCTGTTAGGAGAGTTGGAGCCAAGTTACCCCTTTTGGTTAAACATTTTTTTAACAATGATGAGTTTTGTGAGCCATCATTTCTTCACGGAGGCTGTGAGAGAGGGTCTTAAAAATATGTAAACTATGGGGATCTATAACAAAAAAGCATGGGTGAAGGGGTCCTAAAAATGAAAACACTATATACTGGTAGAGATGAAAACCATATTTAGGAAAAAAGAAAAGGAAACGAGGAGCTTTTTGTCCTTACTGCAATCAGGAGTCCAATCTCAACAGAGTGGAAAAGGACCCCAAAAAAGGCACCCATACATGCCACAAAATCAAACTTGTCAATCTTCCATATAAGCACCACCGCGGGAACATCAATAATCCCCACAACTGCAGATATGATTATGGAAGCCAAGATGGCATTTGGGGTGTATTTGAACAAAGGAGTGATTAATTCCAGGGTCAGGAGCACAATAAAGGACATCACGATGTTAGAGACTGCAGTATGGCATCCTGCCATGTAGTTCACAGCTGATCGCGAAAATGATCCTACGGTTACAAGGAATTCCTCAACACAAGAAAGTTTCATTGTAAAACTATTGAAGGATGTGCTATGTCTCAACTAACATCTTGTGTTAGTGTAAACTATATTTAGTTATATGCTAGACTATCATCTCATGTTCATATATAAACTACTCCGTATATTTAATTATGTACCCCTTTCTGTCCCAAAGATGATCTCTCTGTTTCCATTTTCATCTGTGCCTTTATATTGTCTAATAATAACTTTTTTCATCTGTGCACAAATAACTACTTCTCCCTATAATAAAACCCAACCATCTATGATTAATTATGTCCACTTTTCAAAAGAATATAAAAGTAAATTTCAATAAAATTACGTCTTGCCTAAAACTTCATTCAGAAGGCAATGTGATATCAAAATTAGGATGGAAGGAGTATACACCGGCGGTTACAAGAGAAAATTATCATTAATCAGTTTCAAAATTAGGACAGAAAACACTCTACTATCAAATCGAAATACCGAATCATAAACCACCAAAACCAAACCAACCACATGCAAACGGGTTTAAGGTTTACGCTTTAAGAGAACCGACCAAAACCTATCAAAACAGGTCCCAAATGAAAATTTAACACCCACCCAACCGACTTATGTTATTCACCTAGGTTCTGAACTCAGCAAATTTCAAAACCAAACTACCAAGACCAGAACTGAACTAAAAGGCCCGACAGACAGCTCTAATATTATCATCTCAACAAGCACTAAACCATTTTTACTCGCTCCATACCTGTGGCTACAAAACAAGACGTCAGTGACCCTACTAAGTTCATTGTCCCTAATGCTATCATTTCTTTGTTTCCATCTATCTGGTAATCCTTCATTGCTGCAAATGTTCTTCCAATTGCTGTTGCTTCCTGGAAACCAGGAACTTCTTAATGATTAAGACTAATTACAAATTGCTACAGTTGGTAGTGATAAGCTGATGGATGTAACTTGACGATTTAAACTTACTGTCAATGCTACCATACCGGCAATGGCTCCAATTCTGAATCCTTTGGCAAGATAACCACCAGAGAAATACAACATATTAACAGATGACGGATTGATGCCCTTCTCTATATAATTAACCTTTTTGAGGTCAAAGGGGAAAAAGGGTCAATTACAAATCACCAAAAAAACACTAGTTTTGGATCATATGTAAATCATCATATACCCACAAATAAATAACAAACCAACATATAAGGTCATGCACTGATGCACTAGTACATGATGAATTCCCACACCGGAAAGTTGTGAAGGAATAAGTGTTATATTAAGATCTAGATTACTCCTCATATCACGTTGACCTTTTAGAATGGAACTTCAGATCTTAACATAATATCAGAGCCAAATCGATCAATCGTGTGGGCCCCTTATGAAAAATGATGGCACGATTATGAAAAAATGACAATAACAAATCAATGAAAAAAATGAATGACGGCACGATCCAGAAGAAATGTCTGGTCATGAGGAGGAGTGATGAATTCTCACACCGGAAAGTTGTGAAGGAATTAAGTGCTATATTAAGATTTGAATTACTCCTCCTATCAGGTTGACCTTTTAGGATGGAACTCCAGATCTTAACAGTACATCGACAAACACATGTGTGTGTTGATGATCACTTACAATTTGGACACCCTTCTTTTCGGCATGTGTGATATAGACAAAGAACGTTGAGAGGACAACCGAAACTAATGGTGCGATTGCAGGAACCCAGAAATACTTTTTGTTCTTTCCCTGTGACAATCAAAATATTAAGTTGAATGATGTTTTCATGTATTATTTACATAGTACAACGTATATTATTTCATAAAGAAGAAGTAATATCATTATAGAAATATAGACTACCACTCCATTGCACTAATAAAAATACATAGACTAAAAACAAGAAGCATTTTTAGTTTGTAAATACTCACAATGTGCTTGGCAGTGAGAAGGAAAGCCAAGAAAGTGACTCCTATTACAATAGTCTGCCAATTCCACTGCATTTTAAAAGTGAAAAACAATTAGAAATGGACCTTTTCAAGAAACACGGATGAAATGTAATAAGAAATTTCTCACCCCATGATGAACTGATCCCCACACCGATTGCATCACGGATATAATATCAGTTTTCTTGGTAAATTTGTTTATTCCGAGAAGACCTTTGAGCTGTTGAAGGGCAATGGTTATGGCTGCCCCAGCCATGAAGCCAACAATAGCAGCATGAGACAGAAAATCAATCAAGAAACCCAATCTGGAAATTGTAACATTTTAAAAGGAAAAGTTATCACTTAATCATATGCATGCTACTCATAGCTATATTATATATATAGGGGCGGATCAGGTACAAACAATGCTTATTGTGCAAATATTTGTACGATTCATATGTATGCTATTTGTATTGCATACTAACGTTTAAAGTGTTGCATATTATTCTGTAATGAAATCAGCAGTTGCATATTAATATTCAAAGTGATGCATCCGAAAAAAGTTTGGTTTTATTATCAAAGTGCCGCTGTGCGTCTATAGCCTATAGATCAATTCATCAAATGACCAAGATGAGTTTGTAGTTTGTAAATTAGGAGGTGTTTGTATTTGATCCTTTATCTATATAATTATATATGTATATATATTATATATACTTAATATATTATTTCTGGAGGGACAATTTGTTGCACCTCGGGTTGGGTTTTTGTTTTTTAATTTTTTTACACCTATCTTGCTGCTTTGTTACTTCTTTTATTTTTTCAGCTTACTTTGTTGTACTTTCTCTTGATCTTTATTTATTAAAATTCTCCTTTGTTTAAAAAAACAGACATGACAGAGCTGGGCATGGTGATACAACAAACAGATATGACAGGATCATATGAGCAGCCCAAAGCACATTGGCATCCACGCGAGGCGAGGCGAGGGAAAGGGTACCACCACAAGAGTGTATAAGGGCTAGCATTCCCTTGTCATTTTGACAAAAGGCGCTCCAAAGATTTGAACTTGTGACCTCTCGGTCTCATCCCAATACCGCAACCGGTGCGCCAAGGCTCCCCATCAAGCGTTCACACGACCATCTATATAAGAGTCCCATTTTACTTTTTATCCCAAAAAAGAGTCCCATTTTAAAAGTCAACTTTAAATTTTATGTAAAATTCCTATAAAGTCAAGTAGCCAACTGACAAGCGGTTTAGTCTGTTAATCCCGTCCATTTTGGAAATAGATTTTAAGGGTACTAGTAAGACTAATAATTTGTAAAATCTTGTACCTTAATTGAGGTTGATTAAATATATAGAGTTGTACCTTAAACAAACGTAACTCCTTTTTTTGGGATGGGGGCATAACAAAGTTCAAAATTTAAACATGTTGGAAGCTTAGTGTTAAAATAAAAGACACAATAGCAAGCAATGAATTCAGACAAACAAAAACAACAAAAATGAATACTCCATCGTCCTTATAAATATTCAAACTAAGCACAGTAATGGTTAAATGAAGAGACTTCAGCTTTTAAAATTTCAAAATAGTGACCAAATGTCTCTATATATTTCTTTTTGTAGGAAATTAAGTAAAGACAAAAAACAAAAAATTGTATCTCAATAGTGTCCCATCTGTGGCTCTACGTGTTCCACGCCGTGTGTCCATGTGCCTGATACTTGGAGTCTTGGACATTCTGAAGTGTATGAGATCCATAGGTATATACATGAAAAATAACCAAATTACGTACCTGAAGAAACCAAGTACAAACTGAGTAATGCCAGCAAAGAATGTAGCAGTAAAAGCAAGGCGATGATATTCCACTTTCTGCTTGATAGGATCGATCTCATCCTGTAGCATACTTCCAAGCAATAGAGACACCACGGCCACAGGCCCTATGGCAATATCTCTTGAGCTACCCATGAATGCATAGATTAAAGGCGGAACAAAGCTACTATCTTTAGTGCCACAAACATAAACAACAACAAAATAGTTAACGTATAGTAGTAAAAGAAGAAAAGTTGTGTTAATAAGAGATAAAGAACACGTTTAACGTACAAAGCCCATATTGAGGATCCAAATTGGCAAGTTTTGAGTATCCAATGTCCTGTATATATAACAAAGTTAACAACCCAACACCATATTTCAAGGTTATATTTGGCACGCCATAAGTTAGTTACAAGCTTTTACAAGGGAGGTTTTCACATTCGTGCTGTTTAGTTGGATGGACTTATCTGATAAGTTCAAGTTTATTTCATAAGATTTTGTATACTTCTTTGGAAAAGTCCATGACCTTTTCGCTTATAGTTTCCTATTAAACCTCATATTTACTTCAAAATTACTTTAAACGTATATTTTCTGCTGTTTTGTATTTTTTCAAGTTAGCTTGCCAAATACATTTAGCAAACAAATGTACAGAGATCAGCTAGATCTTCAGCTATTAGTTATATCATTTGTACGATATAACTTCCTAAGTTATCAACTGCTATCGACTACTTGATCCTCAAACCACAACTAAGGTCTCCATTGGATATAGCTGCAATGCCCAAAAATGAGCTTATACATTTCTAGTAATGCAGTAGGACTGCATCAGGTGTTCTGACCTAGTAAAAGAAGACTATGACTAATTCCCCTCTGCTCTCAAATCAAGAAACTGCTGGCATCTCGGGCCTTATGTATAGTGTGGGTTTGAAGTTTTGGGAGTGATCATTCCAAACATGACTTTATCCAAATCCTAGTAATCTAAGGCCTAGCAAATAAACTTTGACAGATAAAAGTAGAGATCCAAACGAGGCCTTGAATGAATTCTTCACAAACCTGTGGAATGCAAAGGCTAGCGATGGTGAGTCCAGCAATGAGATCACCTTTAAGCTTGGAAAGGTCATACGATCTGCCCCATTCAATAATGGGGAGCACGGCTTGGATTCCCAAAACGAACTTCTTCAGCCAGGGTTGATCCTTAAATGGGCGCAAAGGATCATCATGGAAGAAGGTTTCCTTAACATTGGTTTTGAATGCCCTGAACAAGCTCTCCTTAGGAGGCACTCCCACCTTGTGAACATAAGGCAAACTATCCGACTGCCTACCCGAGTTCCCAGAAATGTCACTACCAAGTGCATTATTATCTTCCCCTTCATCCTTACTCATTGTCCCAACCCACTTTTACAAAGAACACAAACAAAGAAGGAATTGTAACAAGGAAAAAAGAATTCCAAAGACAAGATCGAGTATATTCACGGTCTCTCTCAAGGTGAACGTGGAACACTTATTAAGCGGTTCAATAATTTATATTATGCCGATAGAGAACACTTTTCTTCAATCGGTGAAAAATATGAAAGAAAATGGGTGAAGTTAGTGCCAGAATACCCATTTACAATGAAGAAGCAGAGATCACGAAAGACAAAAGAATCCAACTAATACTGTCCAAAAGTGTTAAGAATGAAGTCGGTGCCACAATACGTAAGCAAATCGGAACCAGAAATGTGTTAACAATAGACAGAGCATGGTCAATGTAGAGAATTGCATGCAAATATCCAGAGTAGTTATTATGGAGGTGAATCCGTGGTGGAAATCAAGTAAGAAACTAGAGCCATTCATATTGGGCACTAACTTTTTACGGAATCCGTGGCTGGCATGAAATGAATGACGATGCTGAACTTGTAAAGTAATCCGAGGTTCAGTTGAGTATTCGCCGCCGCGAACATCTTCATCAACCAGTCCCTGTTCTGCACCTGAAAACTATCCGCACCAGTGCAAGTTAGATAACCACCGAAATAGAAGTAATTACCCACTCAATTGCCCACTTTTTAACACCCCATTTCTAACCTTTTCAAATCCTCTACGTCGCTCTTCTCTTTGGCACTGGTACTCGAGTTTGCTTTGCATCTCTTCTGCCGCACAACTTGCCTTCTCTTCTCCTCTTTGCCTTCGTATCATCTCGTTAGCTTTCTCATCAAAGATCAAATCAGAACAACTTTAACCTGAGAACGTCACATTTTCGTTCGGCATAATATTGACTTATTTTGAACAAATAAAATGTGCACCAGTCAGGATCTATTTTGTACCACACCCTATATATATATATATATATATATATATATATATATATATATATATATATATATATATATATATATATATACTCCCTCCGTTTCTGAAACAAGTTCCACCTTTCCTTTTCGGGCAGATTCAAAATTAAGTTCCACTTTCAAACATTTCCTTATTATCTACATCAAAACAGTGTCAAACAGTGCTAAACAGTGTTCAAACAGTATCAAACAGTGCACTCCACAGTAAAGTCAAATTTATTTTCTTAATATGTGTGAAGTCAAATGTGGAACTTGTTTAGGAATCGAAGGAAGTATATATGTGTGTGTGTACTAGTATTTCACATGTGCGTTGCACGGGACGTAAAATACAAATATTATAAATATTACTCCGTAAAAGTTAATAAGCACACTTTAATGAGAGCAATTTTTTCGCAAATTGTTCTTATTACCCTCATCATCACATATCACAAATTTCAAACTCAAGACAGACTCGTCACCTTCAAAAAATACAACATATTTTTGCCCATACGTAAACTTTGGACGGAGTAAAATAGACACGGTTTTCGAAATTTCCCTTGACTCTTATTCATGGTCAACACATTGCATCCATGTGTTGCATGGGTTGTATTATTTCACACACAAATAACGTGATCTACAATGTGTCTTCATTGTGTAAAGCAATTGCACTTTTTATCAAATGAAAATATTTGGAGTGTTTCCCTAGAATAATGTTAAATTAAAAAATATTTACCAAATTAGAGTGTGGTTAGAACTATTTCCCAAAGTAATGCTCAATTAACTCTAGTTAATAAAACCACCGATCTAGTTGGCGGCTTGGGCAAAATCAAATATGGAGTACTCTGAATGTAGTAACACCAGCGCACAAGAGAAAAAGAATCCTGGGTCCCACAAATAAAAAAAAACTTATTATTTTTAAAGGGCTATAACTTTTTTATCCGTGTTCTGATTGTTACAAAAATATATCAAAATTTATAATTTTTTATTATCTTTTATATGATATCAATATTGAATATATAAAAATAAAAACATAGGCACTTTTAAAAAGCGATAGTATATTTTTAAAGTAATGTAACTTTTTTATTTGTGCTCCGATTGTTATAAAAAATGTATTATAATTTGTTATTATCTTTCATATGAAACTAATATTGCATATATAAAAATAGAAAAGTAATTTTACACTTTAAAAAATTTATGTTTTTTAAAGTGTTATAACATTTTTTTGTACTTCAATTGCTACAAGAACTATATATAAATTTATAATTTCTTATTATCTTTCATACGATACTAATATTGCATGTATAAAAAAATCTATTACTTTGTGCGGTTTATAATCAATTTTTATCATGCACACTATTGATTTGGAGTGACACCTTAGAACAAATCTACACAAATTCTAGCTCAAAGAATAAAACAATAAATAAAAGTGATAGATTTGAAAATGATGGTAAGCATCTTTTCTCCTATAAAGCCAATGTTGGTTCGTTTAAAAATCTACTAGACAATTTTTAAAAAGATCAGATCAAACATTTATCCAAGTCTAGTAAGTTTATGTTAAATGTTTGATCTATTTAGTCAGATTTGTTTGAATCTGGTCTGACATATATTCTTAAAAGAATTAATAAATTTTAATAGATTTTATTTTTTATTTTTATATATGTAATGTTGGTATCATATGAAAGGTAATAAATAGTTATGCGTTTGGATATTTTTTTTGTAAGAAACAGAATATAAATAAACAAGTTGCAACACTTTATAACCAGAAGTTTTTATAAAGTGTTAAATTATTTTTTCAACTTTTATATATGCAGTATTGGTGTCATATGAAAGATAATAAAAAATTATAATTTTTATATATTATTCGTAAGAATCAGATCACAAAAAAAAGTTATACGGAGTAATTCTTTAAAAAACATAGGCGGTTGTTTAAAGTGTCTATTTTTTAATTATTTTTGTATATGCAATATTAGTGTGAAATGAAAGATAATAAAAAATTATAATTTTTGATAAGTTTATTATAACAATCGGAGCACACATAAAAAAGTTGTAGCATTTCAAAAATAAGGAATGATTTTTTATTGGTGGAACCCAAGACTATTTTTTCAACTATGCTCTTCTGCGCGGCGTTGCAACAATTTCGTAGCTTTTTATTTTTGTCTAAGCTGCAATTGCGGTTGGGAGTCATTAGCTTGAGTTAATCCCAACATCAATTTGGGAAATATTTTTAAGCTCACACTATTTTGGTAAATATTCTTTTATTTAGCATTATAATAGGAAAAAGCTCAAAGATTTATGGATTTTGAAAATACAAATAAAAGTAGAAAAAATCATAATTTCTCGACATTAATTCAAATATGATATCATCTCTTATAAAAGCCTCTCCTAGTGATTTCTCATAGGACAACATCCACGTTTAATTTGAGTGCTATTGCTTGTTACTTGTTAGAGGTGTCCACCAGCACACACCGAAAATATTTTGATATAATTTTCATATTCTAAATAATTTCGTATTAAAATATATCATTGGTCAAAAGTCATGATTGTCATTGATAAAAAAAAGTCAATTTGACAATCTTTTTCGGGACGGAGGGAGGAATTGTTTTGGTAAATATTGCACTTTTCTCCATTTATAATACGGAGTACTACTGAAATATAATTGAGAAATTAGAAAACGTTGCAAATGATTTGTAAACATGGAGTATATTTGTGTATAAATCTAATTACCAATGCTGGAGCATATTTGTAAACATGGAGTATATTTGTGCATAAATCAAACCCAAACGTAAGATATAAATACATTAGAGCATCTCCATTCATGCTCTCTAAATAAACGATTTTTTTAGTACACATCATTGACACATCACATTTATTCAATAAATTTTAAATAATCTCAAAGTTTAAAATTCTTCATCAACAATAATACTCAAATAATCAGTTTTTTCCAGACATGCATTAAATGTAATTTAACTATAATCTAAAATAATCCGGGATTGGAATCTTGATACCCGATTTTCTTTTTCAATAATCTCGCTAAATAATCTCTCACTCACAATGATAATCTTTAAAATAATCTTACACATCATCCAATTGATCTTCAAATAAACTCATGGATGAGGATGCTCAATCATATCATAGAAAATATATCATAATCGCCATAATAAATTCCATAACATATTAAATGGATATCTATTCCAAATTATAAAACTACAAAAGCCTAACTTCAGATAGAAAAATGCCATCTTTCTTCACCCGTGAACATCATAAAAGTTTTTATTTCAGCTTGCCACCTCTTTCTATGCCCCTAAAAATACATCAAACCACATCATCACCATCGAATCAAAATGACATTTGATATAAAGCAAAAATAAAACATAAACTCAATAGCAAATGATTATATAGGTTCTCTTTGACAATTAAACAAATTATGAGGATACCATTGACGTCTTTGCTCCTAGCATCCTGCAAATAAAACATAAACTCAATAACAAATGAATATATAAATTCTGTTTGACCATTAAACAAACTTGATAACCCTAAAATAATAATGGATTATAAAAATTCATGAAGTTTGGATGAAGCTTACCTCAAACCCGTGTAAATTGTCTAATTGGATCTGTTTTTTCTTTAAACTACTCCATTCCAAATTCCCTTTGTGTTCGGGTTGCAGCCAACGCCTTTTTACATTTATATATTCTGATAGTCCCAAAATCAATCAACAATCATACAATATAATAGAAGCAGAGAATCATAGAATGATTTGACAATATTTGAACGATGAACTCCCTCTTCCATATATCGTATAAGCTCTCAGAAAGATAATAGCATTAATGTGCGTGAATAATATGTGAGGCTTAGGGTTTGCTTAAGTTAGTATCCTTTTATACATAAGGATGTCTAACTTAAGGCTTACAAGTGGGCTAATGGGCTGAAATACATTTGTGGCTCATATTATACATTTAATTAATAACTACACAAATACAAAGATATTTAATTTGATTGGACACCATGAAATATTCCCAACATATTCGGTACCCAATTCAATGAAATTGGCTGCAAAGCATTCAACACCTACAACCTCTAAATGTTACCAAAGCATTCAACTGATCAAGATAGAAAATTAACAATAATGGTGAAGCAAGCAGATTTAAATCATTTAATGAGATGGGTGTATTGATGGAGAAAGTTATTATGTTGTTATTGTTATACCACTGTGAAGGTGAAGCATATTTCTTGACACTTTCCTAAGCTAATGTATTAGCTATTTTCGTGCGATTTAAGCAGTTTTCCAGTTCGTTTTAGTTCTTTCCAGTACTATGAAGTTATAAAGATGTTTTATACTACCAGATGTTCACATAATGAGATCAGGTGGACCCAAATTGTGCAGTCTGCACAAACACTCTAAATTGATAGCAAATAAGCTTGTTCAGGCACACACAGAGATATGAACCCTACTCTCTGCTCATTATGCTTACTCCACTCAGTATGACATAAGGTCCTATATCAAAGGAATTTCAATAATTTAACCTTTCAAAGCTGAAATTTGAAGCAAATCCAAAAAGATGACACAGAACTGTTGTCGTTAGTCTAAGTAAGTGTGCTTCTAACTACACAATAATCAGAACTTGAACCCATGAAATGGCATTAATTTTTTAGCTATGGTATGACACTAATCAAAACAATATTTAAATACTAACTGCCTATTAAGAGGCGTGCATATATTTATACACTTGAAGTTTATTAAAAATCGCTATATTTAGACACAATTTGTGATTACTAAACTCTGGTGGAGATGTTTAACGAAAGTAAGGGGTAGACTACCTAATTATTCTAATCAGCAAACAATAAGGTTTTTACGAAACATGATAAGAAAAAGATGAGGAAAAGTAGAAAGAGGGGATAAATATGCAATAAGTCTTTTGCATCTATATACTCAATTGTATCAAAGCTCAATTACATTATCTTAGAATCTAT